CTCACCTGCCCGGTCCGGGCCCCGGGAGGAGTTAGCCCAGGCTGCGTGGCCGGAGGGCTCCGACATGGAGCGCTCTCGCAGGCGGCGGGCAGGTGAGAGCGGCTCCGGGCTTGAGACCGTCGGACGCCCCATCTGGGAGAGCCGGCCTTGTGCCCGGGCTCCGCGGTGGGAGCGGGGACCTGCTTCGTGCAGCCCTGGGCTCCTACAAAGGCTTTAAAACCGGCAGCTCTTCTTTACTAGCGCTTTGGCAGCATTAGTAAATAGACGAGTCCTTGCGTACTGTGGTGACAGCAAAGTAAATAGAAGTTTTACTGTAGTGGAAATGCATTCACTGTTTCCACTCAACTACTTGTTTGAATGTCGAAATACAAGTAAGAACTTTATTTATTCCCCCCCTCCTCCCACTCTGTTCTCTTGTCTGTATTCCTTAGTTGCTGGAGATGGAGAAAAAGATGCGCTGCCCCATTGCAACTTGCAGGTTTACACATACACCTGTGATGTGGGCAAAAGAGAAAATGTCTACTCGACAGCTGAGAGGGTCCGCAAGGAGGTTGGCGAGGTGTCTGTCCTGGTTAACAATGCTGGGGTGGTCTCCGGGCACCATCTTCTGGAGTGTCCTGATGAGCTTATTGAGAGGACCATGATGGTCAACTGTCACGCACACTTCTGGGTAACTATAAACTCCTTCCTGCTGCCCTTTTTTGACAGTTAATTTTGGGAAATTGCTGTTGCTTATCTCCCTGTCTCCTCGAGTTTTGCACTTGTTCCCTTTCATTTGCAAGCTCACTGCTTTGGGGGTTTCTTATTTTTAACTTACTGTTTTGTTTAACAGGGATGTTGGGTATTAAAATTCTTTACAAATAGTTTTAAATCAATTATATCCTCTTTGAATCCAGAATTCTAAGTCGTGTGCCCTTTTCTGTAGCTCTGGATGTGAAATCCTTTGCAAGCACGACTTCTGAATCTGCTTAAAGGTTGTTCCTGTTAATGAATGGCTTCTCAGCCTTCCTCCCATAGCCTTCTGCCAGCACGTTAGGAGCTTTAAGATGCTGGTTTAATGATGGTTACAATAGCAAACTTGCACATTTCTGGAAAAAAAATACTTAAAACCCCTTCTGGAAATGTTGTTTGAATTGCCTTGGAGGCAAATTGTTCCTTTTGAAGGCTGGGAGGAAAGGCGAAAAAGATTTCTCAAGAAATCAAGCCAAGAACACTTTTTCAGGAATCCTGCATATTTGTCCTCATAGCTTTCTCTGGAGGCTGCCAGCAGAAGTAAGAAAATCTTTAATATGGTTCCTGGGGTGATATTGTCTCCATAAGTAGCAGATGCCAATCACGGGAGAACAAGCTATGTGATCTTGCTCTTTTTGTCTGTCTGAACCTTGTTTTCTTGTGTGGTTTATTTTTAAGCCCACGGTAGCGTGGAGTTACATAAATTGGAGTCTCGAAGGAGGGCATGATGCACACTCGGGTTAGCATTAGCTGTCAGACTGAGCCCATTGTTAGTATTAAAACTGTTCTTTGGTCCTTCAGATGAGGTTATGAAATACACTTGCATAACAATCAAAGGATTAAGCAATGTGAAATGTACTTCAACTTAAGCCTTCTTTGGCTGGTCTTACCTTTTCATAATAAAATTTTGTTAAATGCCTCATCTTCAAAAGTTAGAAGGCGCTCCCAAACCTGACTTTTTTGATGTGGAAGTGAAATGCTGTTTCATAACCCTAAAGGAGCCCCTTCAAATCTGTGCTGTGAAACACGTAATGGCAGAGCAGTCTTTTTCCAACATATTGTAAAGCTTGCAGAGAAAGCGCTTCGACTTCAGTGTACATGAGGTAGTGTGTTCAGAAACTCTCTTGAACTCTGAAAGTATATTTTAAGGCAATTTGAAAAGTTCTGAGAAAGCCTATATGACATCTTGCAATGAAGAGCTCTGTCTGTTCCCTTTCATAAAGGTTAAATTGGTGCTTGAGCAGAGATGTGCACTAGATTTAATGACTGTTATTGATGTGCTTTAAATGCCGAATTGACAAAGTTTCCAAGAACTCCAGGTTATGACATCACTGTGAATTAAAATATGGGAGGATCCTAAATTCTCCAGCTGTTCTTCCTTCAGGCTTAAGTCATACACTTATTTATGACATCGTTTCAGAGACCTTTTTAAAGCACCCTCTGTGTCTTCTGAGTCTCTAAGTTTAGTTTTCTATTACTGTGAGAGTCTTGTATTGCTATGATTTGGTTTCCATAGCAGTTTCATTCACCTCTAAATGTTACAGTGTGAAATGACTTTAAAATTTAAAAAAAAAATTACTCCAAGAAGGTATAGCTAGATCTGAACTGTGGAACTTGAGATCTTGGCTTAAGCTTCTAAGGAGCAGTCAACACCCTTTATATTTAATAGAGGATCTGTTCATGTGTACACTTCCTGCAGATCCTGTGTCCTGCTTTACTTTTCCTTTTAGGTTTTGCTGTTGGCAAAGCTTTTTTCCTAGTCTTCCCCTTCATGATCCCAGAAAAGCTTGGCTTGACCAACAGTGGGTGGACTTCTATTAAAAGTAATAGTGCTTAATTCATAAGATATCATCTGAATCAGCTGATTTGAAGCCAACTTTTTTGATGCAAGTCAATGCTGACTTAAATAGAACAATGTGTCTAGATGTGTGAAGACTTATACAGCTAGTCTTTTCCATGTCAGCTAAACTGGTGGTCCAAAAGCAAAGCTGATACTCTGGAGCATTATGTAGGCTCTTAACTATTCTTGGAAGGGTGTTTTTGTCCAAAAAGCTGTAAATGGATTTTATAAAGATATGGATCTTCTGTGTGATACTGCTTCAGTAGTTAAGTGTCTGTACTCTCTGGGTTTTTTGTTTGGGTTTTGGATTCTTTTTTTTTAATGTGTGACAGGAAATTTTTCCTCATCCCTTGATCATTAATCAAGCCTTCATATGCTTCTATATAGAAGCCTAAAATAGGGCTCCTGTACTGTCCCCTTGAAATGTCTGAAATAAGATTGATTGCCTGCTCTCCATGCAGAGCACAGGTGATCTGATCTTGCTTTATGTTAGCAGCTACGATCTGAAGGCTGCCTAGCTTCTGCGGTAGGCAGTGACATGAAAGTCTGTCACTGGTTTGCTGTTGTGACTCCAACTGGGCTGTGTACCATATCACAAACTGGCAGTCGAGGAACTTTGCAGCGTGCCACAGCCTAAACAGATGCTTTCCATTTTGCTGACATTCATGATTTGTATAATCCTTCCTGTGAGCATTCTATATAAACATGTCACCGCTGCATCATGTAGCAATTTCCACAGCATAAAATCCACTGCAGTATTAAAAACCTGTTATTTCATGCTGTGATAACTTGACTGCTTCTGATATTGAAAACATAGGGACAAAATCCATTCCCAATTTGAAACAAGCCAGCTCTGGTTTACTATAATTTGCAGATGCATAAAACTGTAGCAGGAGTGTAATGCTATCTTTCCTGCCAGTCTGTTGCAAGAATAATAACTTACTTGGCTGTGCTTGTCAATTACTGGAACTGAACTTCTGCAGACTAGGAAATTTTCTTCCTGTGATATGTCAGGATTCAGATTTGAAAAATGTTAAATCACAGTATAAGATAAAGCTGTTGCTTAATCAGTTTTAAGCAAATGTAAGAATAACAATTTTTCTTCCTTGTGGTTTTACAATAAAGCTTAAGTGAAGTATGAAAATACTGTGTGTTAGGTCGTGGAACTGTATTTAATAAAGCGACTGTACAAACTCTTGTTTGAGGACAATTTGAGATTCTTATACCTACTCTTAATGTGTTTTTTTTTTTTCTGGAAGAAAGGTCCTTCTGTCTGGCAGATCTTCAGTATTCAGCTCTGAGAGAATAGTGATTTGTGTTTTCCTGTCATGTGGATCCTCCAAAACTCTCAGCTTAAAGCTCTCCTCCTAGAGGAGTTCTCTTCAACTTACCAAAAGGGGGAAGCAAAAGCATTCAGCTCCAGCTCTGTCATTTAAAAAAAAAAAAAACCACACACACAAAAACGCATAATGAGAGACTAGGGCCCAGAGTTTAAAAGCTTGTGTACTGCTGTCTTAACTGGAGTAGCTATGTTTGTTCACATACAAACTACTTGATTTTTTGAAGTTTTGCAGGTATATTTGTCTTTGTAGGAATTGAACAAAGCTTTTTAGGTGGCCTGGCATTGATACAAGAAAAGAGAAATACTACTCAAGTAATTAGGGCGTTCATAAATAGTCTAAAACTTAAATGTACCTTGGAAAGAATATTAATGCAGAGTTACTAAATCAAATACCTATTTATGTAGCTGCTGTAGTTGTCAGTCTAATTAGACTGACAGGATTGCTAAAGCCTTGGAAAATATTTGTGGCTTATTGTTACCTATAATGTATCAATGCTTATGTATTGTTGTTCTAGTCTCTTCAAACTCCCTGGTGATAAATAAAGCTCACTTATGCCTGGAGTTTGTTCAGTTTAAATATGGAAATATTACGCTTAGTGCGCACACTGGATCTTCTACAGCAGACAGCTTAAGTTATGTTATTTGAAGCTATATCATGCTGAGTTTTGTGGCCTGTTGGTGCAGCAGTTTGATTTTTTTGTCTTAATTTATAGGATTCTAGTATCTGTGATTAAATATATTCCACTGGCAGGCCAGCTAGCTATATTTAGCATTTTGCATGAGTGGAATTAGCTGCTTTCATTGGTTCTTTTTAATTTTTTTTAATTTTTAATTTCATGAGAATGTGTCCCAAGATGCATAAGATTACTTATAAAGTTTAATCTATAAGTTCTTGACTTCTTTCTTTGAAAAATGAGTTGGATTGAGTTCAAGCAAAACATGTGCATGTGATCCAAAAAGTGTCATCAAGACTAACTCTTCTCTTGCAAAATGATTCCAACTATATGCCACTAGTAAATTACCCTGGACAGCACATGTGTTTCATATACTGTGGTAGCATGCTGGGTAGTGAATGAAGGAAAAAGCAGTCATACTCTTAGCTACAGAAACAGTCATATTAGTTGTACTTAAAACTTCTAAGTGCTTTGGTGGTTCTGCAGTTCATATGTCCTTGGGTTCCTTTCTCAAGAAAATAGCGGGAATCTATCAGTTAAAAATACTATCTTCCAGATGCATGCTCTAGAAAACTGCCCTTTCCCATTTTGTGAAGGAATGTACTTAACACACATTTTAGAAAATAAATGGATGGATATATATTTCTGGAGCTTGAATAGGCACAAGACTACAGGCTGAGAGCTTTCCTCACAGATTTATTTTACAGTCTACCAGGAGCTTGCCTAGCATTATGTCAAGCACAGTTGTTACCAGCATGCAATCTTTAATTTTCTAACCTGTATCTTGCAATCTGTGTGTGTCTGTAATCTAGCCTTGTATTCACATTTTATTTGTAGCTATTGCTTTAAAAAAAAATCACTGAAAGTTTTTCAGTTTCCTGATCCTTTTTTTTTTTTGGGGGGGGGGGGAGGCACCAGCTCAAACCATTTAGTTAGTATATGGATGTCTAAGTTTTGGCTGTAGACGTGATCTTATATCAGTTTTGGAGTAGACACAGGTGAAGGTAAAAATGACCCTTCATACCATGTGCTCATGTGAGGAATTAGCAAGCATAATTAACCACATTGGGATGGGGTGATGG